ATGTACTAAGATAAACTCAAAATGGGTCAAAGTTCTAAATGTTAAAGTAAAAACACTTAATCTGCTAGAAGAGAAAGTAAGTAAAACTCTTGCAGACATTTCTGTAGACAAGGAAGTTCTGAACAAAACCCCAAGTGCATAAGAAATAACATCAAGAATCAACAAATGGGACGTTGAGGATTTAGCTCAGTGGCACAGTGCTTTCCTGGCAAGTGCGAGGTTATGAGTTCGATTCCCAGTACTGGAAAAAGACCAAAAAAAAAAAAAGAATCAGCAAATGGGATCATATTAATCTGCACAGCAAAGGAAACAACCAACAGAGTGAAGAGAAAACCTACAGAATAGCGAAACAATTTTGGCAGCTATTCCTCAGACTGAAGATTAATATCTAGAATATATAAAAAACTCAAAAAATTAGATCTTTCTGAAATAAAAGACTGAATCAAAAAATGGGTAATTGAAATGAATAGACACTTCTCAGAAGAAGTACAAATGGCCAATAAACACATGAAAAAGGTTCAACATTGCTGGCGATTAGAGAAATACAAATTAAAACAACTGTAAGGGGGCTGGGGATTTAGCTCAGCGGCAAAAGCGCCTGCCTGGCAAGAGCAAGGTCGTGAGTTCGGTTCCCGGTACCGGAGAAAAACCAAAACAAAAAAAAAAGCATGACTTTTAAAACAACTGTAAGATTCCATCTTACTCTTGAGAGAATGGTTATCATCAAGGAACCAAAATAATAACAAATGCTGATGAGACTGGGACAAAAGAAGCCCTTCTATATTGTTACTGTGAATGTAAACAAGTAAAACCATTATAGAAATCAATATGGAGGTTCAGATAACTAAAACTAGAAATTTCCTTCGACACAGCTATTTCTCTTCTAGCTATTTTTCCCAAAGAGTTAAAGACATCATACTGGAGTACTACATACACACCCATGTTTATGGCAGCACAATTCATAATAGCTAAGTCTTCAAAGGGCATAAATCAGGGCATTCATCAGCAGATGAATGGGAAAAGAAAATGTACCATTTATCCAGAACAGAGTACTACTTTGCCATAAAGAAGGACAAACTTGAGTCATTTTTAGGAAATTGGATGTATCTTGAGACCATAAAGTTAAATGAAATAAATCAGACACAGAAGCTCAAATATCACATTGTTTCTCATATATGAGAAACCCAAAATATCAATAAAGAGCAAAATAAAATATAGATAATAGGAAATAGAGAAATAGATTCTTTGCAAGTGGGAATGAGACCATGAAATGGAGGGAGAGGGAGGAAAAGGGAATTAAAAAGAATTGAGATGTGTTATGTACATATACCAACTCCTCACAAGGAATGTGACCATTGTATAATATAAACATGTGCTAATAAAAAATAAAATTTAAAAAACAGTTTCCATTCTGCTTCTTTCTAGCAGGATGGTACTTGCCTACTCCCCTGAAATTGATCATGGCCATGTGACTTTCTTTGACCAATAAAACCGAGCACAAGTGATGCATGGTGCTTCAGGACACAAGCATTTTATTCCTTGTGCCAGATATTTTTCAGCCTCTCTCCCTCTCTGTTTCAGCAACCCAGAATTCTCCTATCCACACCTCTGACTGAAGAATGATATAAAGCAGAAACCCTAGCCAATATGCAATGGATATGTAACAACAAGAGAAATAAACCTTTGATGTGTTAAACCAGTGAAATTTGAAGATTGTTACCATATTACCTATTATCCTTGATAGCTTGCTTCTTATATGGTCTTGCTTTTTTTCTCATTGCTCTTATGACATGTTTTCCTCTTTTTGTTTTACTCTATGGCCATGCTTGCACAGCCAGGAAAAGTAAACAGAAATTTGGTGATTATAATTCTTTGGGTCTAACATTTACAATCATCAGGGTCTCAAATTTTCACCCTGGTACCTTTCCATTAGGGTTCCAGGGGTTATCATTGATCGGATCACAGGCTGGATGACCTGGAAGACTAAAATTGCTTCTGACACAAGTTTAATAACAATACATTCCATTCTTTGTTCTCCCATAGTAAAACTCCGTGGGGCCTATTTTTAGTCACTTCCACAATCATCAGTTCTCCAATTGCCCTACACTACCGAAGGTCCAAACTCTAATTAGACAGCTTGTAGAGAAAAACATGTTTGGCTTCTTCACTTGTCAGAAGTGGGATGCAGCTTTGGACTTAGAAGAAAAGAGAGGTTGAGTCTTAAGCACTTCCTCTACCAAGTCATCCTTTAGATTGGCACTCCCCACATCCCTACCCAGGTCTGCCACTTACAACTGAATGTTTATTAGGAGAAGTTCCCACTGAAGGAAGTTTACCTTAGGATCAATTTGCTAAGCTCTGTGTCATGTCTGGGTCTATAATGACCCAAAGAAAAAAAATGCTTTCATTTAATTTGCTCAAGAACCTAGTACATGCTAGGTAGGTGGCTTCAACACTACCAGAATCCATAAAACAAGCGCCCAACTCTACTTCATCTGATTGGTAAGACCCTGGATTTGGAGGGAAGGGATAGATGTTCTCCACCACCTCATTATGCTGTAAGTGCCTAGAGGACATGTGCTGAGATTTATTCATCTGAAAAGCCTAGATCTTGACAACAGTTGCTCAATAAATATTCAGTATATGAATAGATTCAGATTCTGCTACCCAGTGGTATGACTTTGAAAACAGCTGCCTCTCCCTATAAGTTCCCACCACTTGAAACAAGTTTGAATGATACAAATGGCAGAGTCCTTCTTCCTCCAAAACCTCTTTGACAGCAAGTCTAACTTAGTTCCTTCTCATTTCAAAATTCTGTGTAGTGGCTCTTTCTCATGTTTGCCTTCTTTCTAGTTCAGAATTACAAAATAACATTTTCCAGACATTTTCTCCCTATCCTTGTGAAAATATCTTTTTGGTAGAGCCTTAAAACAGCCAGTAGTGAGTTTCTTTACCTGCCTGTCTTTGTCACCTGCTCAGCTCCTGGTAAGCCTCTCACTTGACTGAAGGTTTTGGTGCTTGGTTCCAACAACTGCTCTTAGAGTTCATCATTACCTTGGGTGACTTAAGTTTCACTTCAAGACAACTGTGCCCATCATGTCTCCCTTCTTTTACTCTTCAGTTCTAGCTGTCTGTCCTTAACTCCATTGGGATCACTTGCACAAATGGTCACACCTTGGACCTCATAAAGTACAGGGAACTGATCTACTTTGTTAGTCTTAATTTTAAGAACTCCTACATCTACACTTACATCAATCACAACTTCTTCATCTTCTTTTCTCACTCCTCAGCTCCTATCATTTGTTTGACACATTTCCCTGATCTCAATTTTCTCCCCACTAATGGGGAGAAAATTTATTTGCCTGTTAATTTATTACCTTAATTATGTGGCCTATAAAATGTAATTTACATCATCAAATTTTTGTTAACACACATAGCCCACTTTTTGTCTTTTCTCTTCACTCGGTCACCCAAAGCTAGATTAATCTCACTATTTGTCTTTACTGACCTTAAATTTAGATTTTCAAGCTCTATCAGAGAACATATCACAGGCACTTATATGGGTATCACAGATTGCTGTTCTACGTGTTCAATTTACCACCCTCTGTGGTACCTAGAAAACTTTCAGTATGCCTCTAGATGGCATCCTCTTTAAGAACTTCTTAAAATATCCCTTAAGCTTTCCATCTCAGTACTTCTCTTTATTTTCTGTGAAAATAGAGATATTTAGGCATGGACTGTTGACTTCCTGCCCTACCGTCATGCACCTTTCCTTGGAGAAGTCAAGTGAATCATTTCAGGTTATGCAGCTAATGATGAAACCGAGGCTTGTATTTCAGGTCCATTTGATGCAAAAGCCTATAATTTTAAGCATTAAGCTATACAGAGTAATGATTAAGAACATCAAATCTTAAGCAGCATTACCTGGTTATATCTAATCACTTACTACTAGTCAGTCTTTGACTGGCCTGTGCCTGGGTTTCCTGTAATGAAACTGTTATCATCCCTGTCTTGTAGGGCCATGATATGAGTTAATGTGACAGGCTTAGAACTGAGCTACTACCACGTAGCTCGACTCATTAAATCTCAGCTACGATTAGAGGAAAACAGAGTTAGCATTATGTCAGACAATGAAAGCCAAAGGACAAGAATTTCAAGAAATACAGGTGAGAAATTGTCAACTATTACACACAGGAGTTGAAAAGGATATGAAATTTTAAAAATAATGTTGAATTTACTGAGTAGGAAGTCAAACAAACCTGGACTAATGTCCAGGCTTTTGTGGAATCCTGGAAGAGGCTCAGGCAATTGATTTTACTGCTAAAAGCCTAACATACAACACAATTTTGTTAATATTATTGCTCCGTCCTCCACCCTATATTTTTGGGGTTTTGACTGTTACTCTTGTCCCTCCACATTTACTCCCAGTTTATCTAAGATTCTACTTGTCTCCATTCTCAGCCTTCTCCTTCAGAGAGTTCATTCATTCCCTAGCTCCTACTGTTAGAGAAATGACATCACATCTCTATGAGCTGTTCACTTAAGACCAGTGGTCCTCCAGCCTGCCTGAGCCTGTCACAAGCTTCACCCCCAAGATTCTAGCTCAGTTTTCCAGATGTAAGTCCAAGTCTTTTGCACACTTTCCCAGGTAGTATTGATTTATAGCTAGACTTCAGTTTTCAAGTCTTTACTAAGGTTGTCTTTCTGCATATTCTGCGATTACTTCAAACTCAACATATCTAAAGCCAAACTCTCCATCATTATTCTTCAATATTGCACTCAATATGAATGATAAGAACCTAAATGAGCTTAGCACACAATGGGTTGTATTTTTTTTCCTTTTCCATCAACAAGAAATTCAGAGGTAAACGGTACTGGTTTTAATATAGTGAGTTAATGATGCCAGAGCAGAGGTCACTGAGATACTTTTGGGCTTTTTTTATTATTTTCATGATTTTCAAATACTAGCGATGGTTCTAACTATCATTTTTGGTTTCCAGGCAGGAGGAGAAGTAAAGGCAGGAAAGGGTGGCACATACATCAGCAAAACAAAAGATTTCCAGAAACCAAAACAGATTTCAGCTTACTTCACTGTCTAGGACTCCATCACATGAACTCCTCTGTTCTATGACCGTCCTATTACATGGTAAGGGAATCTAGGGAGGGGAGATTTCAGTTTTTCACTTATGGTAACACAAGAAAGAGGAATGAAATAGATACTGACCTGCTATGAGATTCATCTTATGAGTTTCTTTTTTTATTATACTGTTGTTAATTGACACACTGTTTTCCTAGGTAGCCAGTTTTAAAACCTGGTACCATCCTCACCTCTTATATTCAATAGGCTTCCAAGGAAACTTTTAACTCTGAAATCTGTACAATCATTTCCATCTCCACTGCCATTCTCCTAATTCAACCCCTTGGTATCTCTGCTTCCTTGCACCCAATCTGTCTGTACTCTGCCCACACCATCTTGCTCACTACCAACAAGTCATCTTACCAAAATGATGAGAAGCCTTGCATGGACCCCCTGTTGCTAGGCAAAGCCAAACTGTTTGAGCTTTTCTTCAAATCCTGTACTGCTCACCCCTAGGACTGGGCCACTCATGGCTACACTGTGGCCACTCCACATGCCATTGTTCATGCCTACTCTCTGCCTTTCTCTTTTCCATCCTTCTCCAGCCTCTCCCTGTGAGATGGCTATTGAGGATTGAGGGCAAGGGGTTTTACTAAAGCCACAGTGCTGAAGTGAGAGAGCTCATTGTGGGAGCTCAGCATGTTCCAACACTCAGCCCACGGAGGACTAGATCTCTTTAGGTTTTATTCTCTCACACTGTCATGGCAGGAAACAGTTTTAGTCTGTCCTCCAGAAAGGCACTAGACACAGGATGGATAAGTCCAGAATACAAAATTCTATCTGACTTATTTTTCTTCAGTGAACAATTTAATGGACTCTACTTTCTCCTGCTGAGGAGGTAAGAATTGTAAGCCTTGGTAAATGGGATGTTTTAGCTTGCCTTGGGGCAAAGGTGGCTGGCGGAGCTCACAAGGTGTTTCCACTGGAACTGTATGAACGGCTCATCTGAAAGAGCAAATATGCATTTAACTCTCTTTTTCATTCTCTCTCTCTCTCCCTCTCTCATTGGGGTGTAAACAACCAGCAAACTAGCTGTTACGAGGGGGATACATCAATTTTTTGATATGTCGTCATGTTGGCTAATCATTGTAGTGTAAATACTCCAACCATGACCAATTTCAAGCTACCAGCACAACATCACTGCAGATAGACCTTGGAAAAGTTACAACAATGAGATCTTTCAAGCAGGTATAAGCTAAAGGCAGTATACTATTATATGATGTTTGCTGATTCAATGCCTGCTTTTGGGCCCTTATCCTATTCCAGGCTGTGTAATCAGGAGACCGCTGGAAACAAGATAGCCCTTGTCCTTTTGATGTTTACAATCTAATGGGAGGGTGGAAGATAGTTCTTCAAGAATCCAGGCTCCTGTCATCTTTTCTAACTTTAGCCCAATTTACTTTAAGTTCTGTTGTATATACTGTATTATCTATGTGTCTTTTAGCCTGCATTAAGAATGCCTTCAGAATAATATATCCCTTCATTTTGACCCCACCATGTCTAGCCAGTATTTTATACATAGTAGTGCTTCTTACATATTTATTAAAGAAAGAAAGAAATGTAAAAATGTTGATTTATTGTTTTGGTGGAGCAGAGGCACAGCCACTGGGAATAAGGTTGAAATGGAAAGAAAATCTATTGACAAAACCTCATCCTTTCCAGCTCCTTCCTATCCCAGGTGAATGATTTCATTATGCAGGTAAAGCTTTGAGTGACTCCAGCCACACTGTCCTCCTCCACCCAGTTCCAAATAAAAATGAGTTACACAGAACCCACCAGTAGTACTTTACGAGTGCTAGCAATTGCTACCGTGCATCCTTAATAGCAGCGTAATCAAAAGTTATGATGCATTTTTCTGTAATCACAAGAAATGATACCCACTTAGTGCTAAGTAAAGCAAATTCCTCACCACAAAAAGGCAAAAGCATTTCAATTTTCATTTCGAAACGAGTGAGTCAGAATCAATTTGGTAAAGCAGTTAACAGCAACTCTGCGCCCCTTGCCGGTTCATAACAGGTACAATTTTCCTTTAACAAACAGCCAAGCAGAGGTCTCTGATGCTGGATTAACATGGTGTGTTCAAACCATCCAACTCATGTGTATTTAAATTGGGTAATAGCGGCCATCAGAGAAGCACCAATATGAATCTTTACAGAGAGAGCAATTTGTCAGCATCCAGAACGTATCTTGAGAAAAAAAAATACAAACATAAATATGCTGGTAAAGAGTTTTTTTCAGAGGGATTTCAAAACACCACAGCCTAAAAGTATATCCCATGTGCCTTTGTGAGAGCTGTTAGCAGCTGTGCCAAACCCAAGTTACAGAAGGAAGCAAATATCTTTATTTTGTAAAGAGCATCTGTGTATTGTATTTCCTTACTCTTTCCCTCAAAATGAGGATGTCAGCTAAAAAGAGACAAGTGTTAAATTTTAATTGGATTTAGAAGACCAACTTTCTCTCCTATCTACACACACACACACACACACACACACACAAACATACACTCTGCCTTCTGTGGAAACTGTGAAGACCGTTGACAAAATATATTTGTCTAATGTAATTATATATCCTGAGGAATTGATTTCTATAATAAAAAATTTGTATAACCTTAAATCATCACCATGGTAAATCTTTTATAGATCTACATTTTTCTTTGTCCTCTCTCCTTTTCTGTCTTTTTTTGAGGGGGGAACATCTTGTAAATGTGTGCATATACTTAAATATGAACAAATGCTTATTTTTTATCTAATACTAGGTTTACAGAAGAATTATTAAAACACAATGGAAAATTCATGTTCTGTGGAGTAATTAGCATTCTTTTGTTTCTTTTATTTTTCTCCTACTTAATTTAGTCCAAGGTTTAAATAAGGAAATGACATCAAATCAGCTAAGATAAAGACCCTAATATAAAGCCTTCTTAGATTTTCGCAAAGGCATTCCAGTGATCTAACAGAGACACAGCCACAGCCTTATTTTTAAGAGCTACAGTAATGAAAGAAAATTGGACGTATGCAATTATTAAAACATAAACTGCTAGAAATAAAATCAATTAAATATTGCAATTTCCTACTTTCTTGTTTTTCAGGCTAAAAATAAAAGATTCCCAAATTTCCATGGAAGCGGCTGTTGGAATCAATGTGCTGGGGTTCTAAGCCTAAGACTCAATTATTATGGTGCAGGTGAAAGCTGTATATTGATCCAGCTGACGTGAAATGAAAGTCAATGTGAACACCTATAGCCAAAACACACCTGAAGGAAAAATAACAAGGATCCGACTTTTATTTGTGTGTGTGTATTTTGCTTTCCTATCTGCAGTCCTAGCCCCAGGGATCCTGCCCCTTGGGAGAACAGATTTTGTTTCATGCAGTCAGAGGGATTGCTAGCCATTTTCTAAAATGTAAACCATGGTTTATATTCATAGATCACAGGTTTGAAAATACAGTAAAATTTGCTGAAGCTATTTGTAAAGAAAAATGTATCATTTCTTTTTTTATATTGTCCCAAGTTGAAAAGTAACCAGGGTTCACTTTTTATCAGAAAAAAAAGCCTTCTTGGGTGAAGGTGAATAAAAAATACATTTTAAAGTGACAAGCGTTTCTTTTGGAAAGTGTATAAACATAACAATTCCTATGCACAGAGATGAACCTGAGGAGGTTGATAAGGGTATAGTGCCCAAGTATTAACAGTAATAGTTTATCTCCCATTAGTAAGATTATAGAGATGTTTATCCTATTAAGGTTATGACATATTTTCTGAACTTTCTGCAATTATACATATTACTTGCAAAAGAAAACTAGTATCCGTAATGCATTTATGAAAAATAAAAACAAATATACAATTATTCAAGAATACTTTTAATAACAACAAATGGACCACAGGAGCCTGAGATGACCCAAAGGTTGGAGCCCCATGGAACCTACTGAAATGTAGGAAAGTCAAGGCTGAGGGACAGCATCTAGAGAAACTAGATGGACAAGGCTTCCAGAAACGCACTGGCCACGGGAGGTGGGAGAATAGTGACCTTGGATAGCGTGGCAAAGATGAAGCCATTAAAGTTTTCAGTATGTTGTCACTTCACCTTCTCCCCAGAAGCTGTTGCAGGTTATCCATCAGACCAGCCTTGCTTGCAGGCCTGCAAACCAGCTTGCCATATCTTGTTCCAGGAATGGGTTACAACCTCACAGAGGAGCAGAGGAGGTTACAACCTCACAGAGGATGCCTTCTGCTAGGCACCCAGTAACACCATCAAGAGCTGCACAAGGTTGTGCTTGCTTGCTGTGAACCAGTTCCATTTTAAGACTGGGCGCTTTGAAAACACAGCCATGGTTTTCTACCAACAGTCATAGTATTCAAATCTTGATTGCACTCATGAGAATATTTTCATGGATACATCCCAATACTCCATCCTTTCCTCTTGCAATTTCACATTTGGGCAATTGAGCACGGTAGTTGAGCAGTCCCAGGGGACAGATATGCAAATTGCTAAACACAATTGAAATAAGGGTACAACCTTGAAATAGTAATTCTGCTATTTGACACTAAGAATGTTCTCTTTTTTATACAAAGTAAAGAAGAAACTGTCACCTCATAAATGGTTTAAAGGAAGAACAGATATGTACACTGAATGTAGAGAAAATTATAACTAAGAAATATAACTGATTTCACTTATTTCACCTCTTGGCAAATACTGTCAGCATAAATGCCTGTGGTGGTTGCACCTCACCTTGCTTTCAGAACAGTTTAGTTGGTGACTAATGCTAGTCTCAAAATAGATTACAACCACCTACCTCCTTCACTGGCTTCCTAGATGCTTGTCTGTGGTTATAATTTCTCTGGTTAGGCCCAAAGGGAAAAGGAGTATGGCAAAGGTGGAAAAATGGGAGGTAACACTTACTGATTATGTTTTAGTAATCCAGTCAATTTAATCTACAATTGATTCTTCTTCAACATATTATGCCATCAGATTTTAACCAGGCTTAACACTCATGATGATAGGGGAGACATTTTCAATTTCCTGGCCCTGTAACTTTGATCATTTTTCTGTAGGGATTGGGGCACAAATTGATCAAGAATCACCAGGCTGTTCACCAAGGAGGAGAAATCTGGAGTTGGGTAGCAAAAAGCTGAGAAAGACAGTGAAGAAGGGAGAGTTTTGTCAGATTTGTGGGTCAAAACTATCATTATTATGAATTACTACTCAGTGAAGTTTGAAGTTGGAAATCCCAAGTAGAACTTTGGACATCATGTTACTTAGCTTTTATCACTGCAACAAAAATAGCTGAAAACTCAACTTTAATGAGGAAGAATTTGGTTTTGCTCATGGTTTCAGAGCTTCGAGTCCATGGTCCATTGTCCTGGTGGTTTTTAATACTAGTGTGAGGCAGTCCATCAAGGCAGAAGTGCATGATGGAAGGAAGGTGCTCAACTCAAGGCAACCAGGAAGCAGAGAAAGGAAGACAAGAAGGGCAGAGGACAAAAATATAACCATCAAGGACATGCCCCCAGTGACCTACTTCCTCAAATCAGGCTCTACCTCCTAAAGTTCCACCACCTCCCAATAGATCATTAATTTATGAATCTGTATATGGATTAACCCATGAAGACAGAGCCTTAATGATCCAAGCATCTATAAATGGCTCCACCTCTGCACACTGCTGCATGGGGATAAAGTCTTCAACACATGAGCTTTTGGAAGATATTTATGATCTAAACCATAACAGACATGCACAGAAATGAGATGAAAGAGGGTGAAAGAAATATGGGAGGTGCTTATTTCAAGTGGCAAATGATTTCTTCTTATTATCTCTTTCATACTAAATCCACCTCTGTGGATACTTTTAAAATATATGTCCTTAAATAAAATTCAAAAGAGGCAGCAGATTTTGAAATGTAGGAGAGGGACATATTAGAATCAGAAATATAGAACTTTATAGCTAGGAGGAAATATTGAGATTCCTTAGGCAAGTTTTCATAGCATGTTCTGGGGAATTCTCCAGGCCTTAGTGGTTGGGGAGTTGGGGGAAGACCAGTAACAGGCTTAGATGACAGAGAGGAAAGGGACTGACCTTACCTCTCAGAGACTAATCTTACTCCCTTTTGTACATTAGGATTCTATGTAAGATTTGTTTCAGAGAAAAGGAAAACCTGGACCCTGTTATGTTAAAAGTAATGAAGTCCATGGTACTGGTTCTAGTGGGGCTGTTCCTAAGGACCCGTAAGTTGGTGACAGTGACGCCAGCCTCCTGACTCTTGGGATACTCACTGCCACGCCAAACTGGCTCTTATTATGCAGCCTAATTCCCTGTGAGATGGTTTAATTAAAATTGTGGCCATTTTGGTTTTAATCTTGAGACTCTAACGATTTTATGTTAAATATCTTGGTAGCTAATAAAATGAATTAAATGCATAAATACAACATTAAGTTTAAATAATATTTTAAATAGTGTTTGGAACCGCTATCTTTCAGCCTGCACAGACTTTAACATTTTAATCTCTCACTGCCTCTGCAGATAAAGCTACATGCCATTTCTAAGAGTAAATGCCTAACGGCTTCTTTCCTCAAGGTCAGTACATTATTTTGAATGAGGAAAAGTTGCTCTCTTAAACCAAACAAATATAATTACAAAATTTTTTAATTGTGCTAGAATTTAGATGGAAGTGATAAACAGTAAGTGACAATGGAGATCTAATCCCTTCCCAAATAACTGGCAGTGCCATAAACTTCCAGAAAAAAAAAAAAATAGCCTAAAACCCTGGGAGCCCAAAACTGCATTTACCACCTCTGGTTTAATGCTCTTACTCACAGATACAAAGGATTAAGATTTGAAGCTACAAGGCACAAAGGGTCCTAGAATTCCTCCTAGCGTAGTAATATCACCCTCTGTAGGAAATAAATACCAAATTTGCAATGTATGTTTATTTATGTTCATTATTGTTACTCTGCATTTACATTTATGATCTCATTGAATCCTTCCAAGGGCAGAATGCAATGGTTATGAACTATCATTTTCTTTATTTTAAAGAAGAAATAAAGGCACAAAGATTATTTTTCCCAAAATCATGCAGGATTCTGTAAAGTTTTTTTCTTTGGTGCAAATGAGAGACAGGACAGAAATAAAAGAAGCCTTTATTGCAGGCATGGAAGGGTTGCAGGAGAGCACAAGGACCCTCTAAAGGGGAAGCAGGGGGACAAAGGGTTCACTGAGCTGGGTTGGAGGTGTGGTTTACATAGCCGGTCAAGGTGTCATAACAAACCCTGACTGGGGAAATGTTGGTATACGTGCAAAAAGGAAGGAGAAGTTGAGATTAGGCTGGGGGGAGGAAGAAGGCAGAAGTTAGTTTTGGAGAGACACATTGTTGTTTTGGGCCCCACGCCATACTGGACCATCACCACGATGACTTATCAGAATTTTGTACAGGTTCAGAAACCCATCAGATTCAACCCAGGCAGCCTGACTCCAGAACCCACAAAGTAGGAATCCTAGAAAGGCAATGCAGATGGAGCTTAGTGCAGTGACTCAGAAGTCAAGTCTAAGGAAATGAAAGGCCTTAAAATAAGGATTGGGTTAGGACTGGCATAAAAAATGGAAGAATCTGGGATCTCCTTTTAAGAAGGTTTAACTTTTCACAAGGAACCAGGAAGGAGAAAGTGGAAGGAAGAAGATATGGAGTGAGAGCTGGTATCCTGTGTTAAAATGCGGTGATCTCTCCATCCATGCTTTAATGACTTGATGGAGTCCAAGTCAAAGAAGTAAAAGGTGTAGGGATGAAGCAGCAATTTAGATCATATGTGGAGCGGGATGTGGACTCTGGGGTGCCTAAGATACAGAAGAGACACAGGCACTGAGGAACTGATAGAAGCAGAGGTGAGAGAGGCTAGGGAAGGTGAACAGGGAGACTGGGCAAGGTGCAGTGGGCCAGGAGATGGGCAGAACATGAGACTGGAGGAGGAGCCTAAGGAACCTGGGGTGGAGGCACCAGTATTCCTGCTCCTGCCCCGTAGAGCGTGCATGCCCCCTGCTCGGTCACTTCCCCCCACACCTTGACAGTGAACTTCTCAAAACTAGTAATCAGATTTGATGTATCTTGGATCCTTCATGAAGACCACATTTTCCAAAACTCAAACAGGGCAAAAGTAAATACCACAAAGCCTTTAGGATTAGCACCGTCCTGGGCTGCAGGTAAGTGGTCCATCTAGCATGGTGTTTCTCTCACCCTAGTAACAGATGCTCTGTAATTATGAACTGAATTAGATTGAGCTAAACTGAATGGCAACTCCCTTGCTAGAAGTTTCAGGCATAAGGCAGAGATACCAGTAAGTGGATTTTTTCCCCACCTCTGAACAAAGACTGTGACAAAGACTGTGGATTGGACCGA